CGCTTTTTTTAACGATGAGATCTATTTTATAATTATTTTATAGGTAATCACGATTATTCAAATACCTATTATATTATCAAATTAATCCTTTATATTTTTATACTGGCGAAAATCAGTTGTTTAATTGAAATTAGTTGGCTTGATAACTGTAGTTTAATTATACAATGGTGAATCTTTATTATAAATATAAACAATAATCAGTAACAACATAGAGTATATTGTTTATATGACGAACATTTTTTTTTATTTTTATTTGAAAATACAACATGGACGTAAAATTTTTTCATTGTTTAATTGATGCATTGAAAGTTGCTGGTTGCTGTATATATGAAGACAGTATACCAATTTTGTACAATTCGTTAATTAAATTACAAAGTGAAAATCATTTCAATTCTGTATATTTGTGGGGCCGTATCGAAACATCATCCATTGATTATTATATTGCTTATGGTCACCAAAAGGATCTAATTGAGAATAGAATATTTTTTTATACGTAAGTTTACGAGTGTATAATCTACTGAGAAGTTTGGAGCTGATAGTTATTACATAGTCCATCACAATATTGAAGTTAAACTTTTTACTTAAATGAAATACTATATATATATAGTATACACCCCACTCAACAATTTGCTTAACGATTAATTTTATTATTATAATAATAGTCAAAACATGTTGGAATGGGATATAATGCCAACCGATTGGTCAACACTCGAAACAGATATGGTACAAAAATTAAAAACCAAGTTATATGGTGATCCAAGATATGTGGAAACAATAGATAACTCAAATAAAAAGTCACAAGAAACAACAGAATATGCAATAGCACCCAATGTAGTATTAAAATTTGATGATTATGGAGAAGGTGGAGAAGAAGATAATATGAATAATGTAGAAAGTTTAACTTATAATGATATTGTATCAGTCACTGCAGAAACTGACGAAATTATAGAAACGGTATAGACCAGAGTTAATCTTTGTTAGAATAAAATTATAATATGTATTAATTTGATGTTTATTAGGAATCTGCTATTAATGATTCTTCTAATTTAAAACTTTCAATAAAAGAAGAGGATAGACTAGCCATAACCGTTCAAATGATTGACAACGAAAGTCACATAGTACCAAGAGGATTTTTGTACAAGTTGCCTGATGGAAACATAACCAAAGCTCCTTACTTCAAAGGTACCTACAACTTTTTACTAAATTAAAGTTTTAAATTATTTGCACGAATTAAAATATAATGTATTTTCAGGCTTAGATTATTCTGCGATTGGGAATGAAAACAATTTTTTACACATAAATCAACAGTACTGTCAACCTAAAGATCTAAAAAGTGACGTACGACTAGATTACAATGCATCAATTGATTTTTTACAATCAATCGTTAATGATATACCAAAAGGTATCATTTTTGGCTTATAACTTCCAAAAAAAAATGTTCAAAGAATTTTTTAATTTTGTAATAGGATGTTGGGCTTCTCGGCTTTACTCAAATCGATATTTTATTATTCACAATTTACTATGGCCAGGTGCTGTTTATGTCCAAGATATGAATACTGGTATTCATGGTTACTTCTACAACGGATATGGCCTGAAAAACTTAGATTTGCCGTTTATGATCTAATGTCATATCGTTTTCTTATAGGTATATTAAAATGTTGTTTGTAATTAATTTTAATTGTACTTCAGTAAGAGTTGTTATAATTTATATAGATTATATGGATCTATACATTTTATTCGTTATGTTATTAAAATTCCCGGCTTAAATAATAATTATTATAACATTACTTCACCTCTTAAAATACAATCTTTTCCACTCTATATCAAACTCTTTAATCTACAAACCAATTATCCACCCATTGATGATTCACGAGATTCAGCTATAGGATACAGCCAAAACTTCAAATTTTCCAATCATTTCAGGTAATTTGCTTTCGCCTTATAAAAAATGAAAAAAATCTCAGAAACACAGAAAAAAATTACAATACCTACATTTTAAGCGTGCGAAGTATCATTACGTTCACATTGGTGGACAAATTGCAATTTATTTTTAAACATTTTATAAAAATAATATAATTGTACACACTTTCCATTTAAAGAAAATCAATAATCACGTATTTTATCTATTTAATATTATTTAGGATGTAAAAATATCATTAATAATGTATGCGTAATTATAACAATAATATATTACCTATTTTTATTAGGAAACGTATATACGGTATAATTCGAAGATTATAACATAATGTCATTCTATTCACAGCATTGATATATCTTATTTTCTATTGTAAACTATTTGCAACAAAAATTAGGTGCCGCAATTTAATATTTCGATGAAAGGTGTACAAAATATTTTTCTAAAACCCAAGTACTGCAATTTGAGGATACAAATTATTAATCTACTAAGTTCTTCGGTGTAATGTATCAGCTATGTATATTATAAATGATTTTATATAAGTTAAATCACACCAGGAGTGTAATTAAGAGTGGATGAAGGTGATAGATCCTCCCCCCCAAAAACTTTTATTTTACTGCTAACATTTTATATTTAGTGGTGTAGCAGGTCACATATGAGCCTAACAGATTTTTCTAAGAGCATATAATCCCTCCTATTCTACCGTCAGAAGCTGAGCAGTACAAAATTTAAGTGTTTATAATTAATTCAAAATATAAAAAGATAAAAATTCAAGAATTTACAGGACGTCGACTGGAACAGTGCGATAGTTTCAATGACTCTCCAAAATCGTCTTTAGCCAAGTATCAGGTATCCTAATGTCCTTATACTTCTTTGCAGCTGCATCCTAAGACACTGCGATGTGCAATATTGGAGATGTTACGCACTGCAGTCAGTGGTGCCGTGAACTTTTT